AACATAAATAGTTTAAAGTTTACAAAACAATTGGTTAATTTTAATTACAATCGTGTCGATTTTGGCACTTTCGGCACCCAACCTTGAATCGGGTTGAGTTGAATCAGTTCGAATCAAATTATATATATTTAATATTCGAATCAGTTCGAATCGAATCAAATCGAATCAGAGTGCAATTCGAATCGATTCGAATTTCATTGATTCGTTCGGAACTTTAGTTTCAATGTCTACTACGAATGATATTTTTTGAAATATAAGCCCAATGTGGTACATGGTTGTATGGTGAAGTATATAAATCGTCATAATCTAAGGTGGAAAGACTTAAATTTGTAATTGATTTATTATCTAATAAATTAACTTCTTGTAGACTCCTCATCACTATCATCTTTAATATCGAAACAAAATAAACTCGCCAAAAGGGTGCAGAGGAAATAACACTCCTAATGGGTATATGTTCTAAATGTCATTGTGCCAACCTAGCCAGTGTATAAATGAAGAGTGTTTCGATTGTTTAAATAAAGCCTGGAAGGAGGGAAAATTATCCCATGTCAAAAGTGCACCAATCAACAAAACGGAAATTCTTGGTTTCACAAATCTCATCAGTGCCAAGGGAATGAATGAATGAGTCAATGAGAAAGAAAAGCAGTCCATGTATTGTAGGTAGTGTGAGGAGGCTGCGTTAGCACAATAACCAATTACCCCAACAGCAGAGGTAAACGACCCGGACCAATCCAAAGGACTCATTTCAAACAAAAGAGGGCAAAGGTATCTGAATACTGTTGGTCATGTAGGTCAAAATACTGTAGAATCTGTAAGAATTCAACTAAAGAAAAATCTGGAGATTTTGTGATGGAACTTTTCGGGAACGAAGAAGGACGTTCACAGATAATTTGTGGCCACAAAAGCTTCCAGTTCTTCGATTTACCCCTATCTATAACTTTGCATGATTTCATGTGACTTTGTATAACAAAAAAATATTTTTTCATAATATACAACTTTCGTC